CTGCTTAGTGCAAGATGGCAAAGTGCACTAGTTCGCGGCTTTCACTGAGACCCACATACAGGATCCCTTGGACAACTAAATAGAACCCCAGGTTACAACCTATACAGATGTTACAGATTGAACCGGCAAAAGTGGGGGGGTTGCCTGTACAGGAACACTGCAGAGTCACATGTATTGCACAGACCTGCTTAATGCCTCAAAGTGAAAGTAGTGGAAGTTATTAGGCAGTAAGGTCGAAAGCCAAAACCTAGTCATTGTTGGTAGTCTACCAGCTTCCGGATACACCACCCAGCATTTTCAGGACAGCTGTTTATAAATTTGGACCACTGTCTGGAAAATTCTCCATCATTCCTGCACCCAACCAGTCTTTCCCTGGGTATTTTCAACTTAAGGCAACTAAAACGAGGAATATAGCAAATAAATTGTTTCAGTAATAACACCAGAGGCCACTCATATGAAAACTCACACTCACACGAGCATTTAAATCTCTGCACAAAAATCAATTTAAACCAGCTAAATAATAAAGCCTACAAGACTGGATAATAGGTAGGCGCCCTATAAACAAAAACATTTAAAATCAGTAACGTGACCGGTAAGCATTCCATATACAAAAAGAGTTAGAAACATAAATACAAAAACTAGAAGCTTCAATTTAATGTTATTAATAGAATTTTCAAGAGGTTCTAGTGAAAATTGCAGAAATCAACCATTCAAATCACATGAAGCCTGTGAAGTCTGTGGACGTCAAACAAACGGCTTCCACATGATAAATTTGTCATTTTTTGGAAATTGGTGTCACGCCCCTTGTGCAGATATCCCAGAACTAGCAACAAGCAGTATTAAAAACAGAGAGTGTATTGGTATGCTCAAATGAGGAAAAACTGAGGACTTAAAATCAACAAGGGTTTAAAGAGGACAACACAAAGCTGCTTTCCAAGAAAACCTGAAGCTTTCTACAAAAGAAGGGATCTTAAAATGTCTGGGCTGATGGTACTTGCCCTTGATACTGGCCATAGTAGGCAAAACGTAAGGCTGGAGGTGATGTCTGGTAGTCGGTAAATGTGTGGCAGGAAAGTGCTGCCTGGAGACAGTAATGAGAAGCTGGAGTGCTGTCCTGGAGACAGTAATGGTGAAGCTGATTGCTTTCGCTGGGAGACAGTATGGTGAAGCTGGAGGTGCTGTCCCTGGAAGACAGAAATGGTGAAGCTGGAGATACTGTCCGAGGGAGACAGAAATGGTGAAGCTGTAGGTGCGTGTCCTGGAGACAGAACATTGTAAGCTGGAGATACTGTCCTGGGAGACAGTAAAGGAGAGAGCAGGAGGTTCTGCCTGGGAGACAGAAAATGGTGAAGCTTGAGATACTTTCCTGGTAGACAGAAAAGTGAAGCCTGGAGATACTGTCCAGGGAGACGGGAATATATACTCAGGAAGAATACATAAAATGACCTCCATAGGGACAGGAGCATAGTAGGTAACAAGTGTAGTCACAGATAATCAAAAACATTATTGCAAACTAGAAATACCGCAGAGATAGCAAACAAAGGACTCCAATAAGCAATAGTGAGATAACTTACCAAAACAACTGGTGGGAGCTCCATTGTGTTAGTGGCTAGGGAGGATAGACGTAAGACATTGAAACATGCACCAACAGGGAATACAGTCACAGAAACCCAAGGCAAGCGGAAACCAAGACTGTGTCACATACTATGCCACTTGGTATCTGGAGCCTGGCATCGGGAAATCTGAAAAACAGATGGGACATGCAACTATGACCACCCCTAGTAAAATGGCCATGCCCATATGAAAACATGTAAAAATGCCCCCCAAACTCCTTCCTGTAAGCAATTTCACCCTGAAATTTGATACCTCATGCAGTACATGAAAGACAGTGCTATATACTTAAATTGCCAGCAAACCATCTAAAGGGGGACAAAAAGAAACAAAACGCAATAGGGCATCCAGGCCAGGGGAAAACCATGGTAACCCACAGCCACTCAAGAGGGAGAGGTTTTTTAGTTGCCAGGAATGAAAAAAACTGGCAGGAAATGTCAAAGATCGTACCCCAAATCCATTCATTCTGGAGTGGAACCTAAGCAGTCGATGGACTCCACTCCAAACCATCAGATACAATACTAATGCCGGGAAAAAAAATCCCCCCCCATACCAACAAAACAACAGTCCGATAAACATTCTTCTTAGCAAATATACATGGTCTAGAAGGCCAGCTACAAACAACAAAATACCATTCATTCCGTGGACTGCTTGCAGAGGCAAGCAAATGTTCGGGCTTTCAACTGAGACCCACAAAAAAGGATCACTTGGACACCGAAGTATGGATCCAGGTTACAACCATACAGATTGACAGAGTGCACAGAGCAAAAGTGGGGGTTGTCCTGTACAATTGCAGAGTCCCCCCCCACTTTGTTTTGCAGCAGAACGCTTAATGCCTCAAATGACGTAGTGGAAGTTTTAGCATAAAGGTCGAGAACCAAAACCTAGTCATTGTGGTATTCTACAAGCCTCCGGATGCAACATCCCAGCAATACCAGGAACAGCAATAAAAATTTGACCACTGTCCTGGAAAATCTTCCAGCGCCTGCAACCCACATCATTCCCAGGGGTGATTTCAACTTAAGGCACCTAAAATGGAGGAATATCGCAAAATATAATGTTTGCAGAAATAACACCAGGAGGCAGCTCTGATGAAAACTCACACTCACAAGTAACGATCTATTAAATCTCTGCACACAATTCAATTTAAACCACAAATAATATGCCTACAAGACTGTAGAATACACTAGATCCTCATCTTCACTAACACTGATGATCTGAAAAGAAATGTCACCATATCAAAAACAATATTACTCAATCAACAACATAATTGAGGTTCAACCATGTACTGCAGGAGCCCCAGACCCGACAAAATGAAGACTAGTCATGAGGTAGCATTTCACAATTTCAACTTCAATAACAAAAACATAAAGTGGACCAAGTAAACCAAGTCCTAACCGAATCAGCTGGGAAGATATACTAACAACACAGACCCAAACTTATGCCTAGAACAGTATTAACTCGGTGGCACTCGATGTATGCACAATGCTTATTCCTCTACAGAAAAAGGAGGAGTAGATTGTAAAATCGTAAAGAGACAGGCGCTCCCCTTTACGGCGACGGAATAGAATAACAGAAGCGGCTAAAAGAGGTCAATATATCATGAAAATCGCAGGGAGACACTGGTCAAGAGAAATAGCAAGCATCCGAACTTACGCAAAAAGAATCCTTTAGGTCAGGAATAGCGGGAAGAACAAAAGCCATAAATAAATCGAAAGAAACCCAAAGAATTCCTCTCCTATGCGCAAATCAAAATCGAGAACAAGTACTAACGTCCAGTAAGGCCCCTACTTAAACAGATGGGTCCTACACAGATGACAGCAAGGAAATGAGTGAGCTACACAATTCCCAATATGACTCAGTTTTTAGCAAGCGCTAACCAACCTGAGAGACGCAAGACCAAAATGAATTATATATGAGAGAGCCACAAAATTTGACTAACACAACCTATCCGATTTTATCCTGACGCCAAAAAATGACTTCGTACAGGCGATAAAGGACAAGCCCATGCAGCTCGCCCCAGGGCTCAGACTCATGGAACTCTGTTTTCATCAAGGAACTGCAAGAAGCCCTATCACTATCCTTTTCCATCCTTGGAGAGGGAGCATGGACACGGGGTCCGTCCCTCAGTTACTAAAAACAACAGACATAGCCCCACTCCACAAAGGGGCAGTAAAGCAACAGCAAATAACTACAGACCCATACACTAACATCCCATATCATAAAAATCTTTGAAAGGGTCCTAAGAAGCAAGATCACCACCCATCTAGAAACGCAGTCATTTACACAACCCCATGGCCACATGGGTTAGAACAGGTCGCACCTGTTCTGTCACAACTACTGGATCACTACGACAAGGTCCTAAATGCACTGAAGACAAAAAGAATGCAATGTAATATATACAACTTTGCAAAAGCTTCGACCAAGGTTTGTGAGCCATGGCGTTAATATCGCACGAAAAATGCGCGCTAAAGAATAACAGGCAAAGTCGTTCGATGGATCTATAATTTCCTCACTAACAGAACACATAGATTAGTCGTCACAGAGTAAAAGTCCGAGCAGCTACGGTGAAAAGCACTGCCGCACAGAGGCACATGTACTGAGCTCCCAGTTCTTTGATCCTCATCCTCGATAGTCCTACATAATACAATGATGTCAACCACATGCCGCCGAGACTGTGCCATATGCATCAAGACACCCGCGATCATTGCATTGTACTAGAGCTTCACATTGCCAGACACTATGCAAGGCTCCAGTCGGACATCACCCAAATACATTCAGTTAAGTGCTGCAGAAAACACATAATTACTGACACTCTGAAGTAACCCGAAACCCAACTCGTCCATCACGTTACCCCCATCTGTCCCAACGCCACTACCTACCTCTACCGCCCGCCCCAAAGCATTCCGGAGGCCCAGTCCACTTATGCTATCCCCCCTAACTGACCCCAAGTACCTAGTTCTATGAAAAAGTACTTCGGCTTCTCGGCCCTTCAAGGTGGACCATAACAATGTCTCAACACGTCAACAGGCACTACAAGAAGTCGCCTTGCATTCAACATCTCCCCACCCCCCCACTTTCGTTTGCCCCGCCCCCATCATCGCCCACAACCTTACACACTAACAACTCTCGGCATGAACAATATCAGCCTTCTCACAGCACCAATCAAGCATGTGAAAATTTCCGACCTAGAACATGAACAGAGAACATTCACGGCGCGCATAACGGAGATAAAACACCATCAATAACTGGGATACTGCTTGGGAAATCAAAACCTGTAATCCCAGGACGCATTAGGAGAAAACCAGTAAATAATAACACCAGGAAAATCCAAGAGGGACAAGTACGCAAACATCACACGAAAATCACTCACTACGAAAGCACAAGACATGGCAGACGATGCACCAACCCCACCAAAGAAACGCAGGTGTCGACTACACGTTAAGAGACCATACAATAAGCGTCAGGTGCCCGACCAGTTCAATCGCCTCCCAGCCCACATAAGGGGGATTACCAACAGACCCCTGGCAGTCTTCAAGCTGGCACTGGACAAGCACCTAAAGACAGTTCCTGATCAGCCGGGCTGTGGCTCGTACGTTGGTTTGCGTGCAGCCAGCAGCAACAGCCTGGTTGATCAGGCGCTGATCCACCAGGAGGCCTGGTCACAGACCGGGCCGCGGGGGCGTTGACCCCCGAAACTCTCTCCAGGTAAACTCCAGGTAAACACTAGACCTCATCTTCACTAACAATGATGATCTGATAAGAAATGTCACCATATCAAAAACAATATACTCAGATCACAACATAATTGAGGTTCAGAACAGGTATGCGCGGAGCCCCAGACCGACATAATGAGATTAGTCACGAGGGAGCATTCACCAAATTCAGCTTCAATAACAAAAACATAAAGTGGGACCAAGTAAACCAAGTCCTAACCGATATAAGCTGGGAAGATATACTAAGCAACACAGACCCCAACTTATGCCAAGAACAGATTAACTTGGTGGCATTCGATGAATGCACCAGGCTTATTCCCTAAGAAAAAGGAGGAGTAGATGTAAATAGAAGAGACAGCGCTCCCTTTACAGCGACGGAAAAGAATACATAGCGGCAAAATGCGTGTCAATATATATCTAAATGCGTAGGGAGACACAGGTCAGAGAAATAGCAAACAACGAACATAAGCTAAAGGATCTTATAGGAGCAGGAATCGCGGGAAGAACTAAAAGCCATAATGAAATCGAAAGAAACCTAAAGTGATTTCTTCTCCTAGCCAAATCAAATGACGAGAACAACGTCTTACTGGTCCCCCTACTTAAACAAGATGAGTCCTACACAGATGAAGCAAGGAAATGAAATGAGCTACTCAAGTCCCAATAGTCTCATTTTTAGCAAGCCGCTAACCAGACTGAGAGTCAAGATCAAAAAGTAATTTTTTATGATATCCACAAAATTTATTAGCACAAGCCTATCCGATTTATCCTGACTCCAAATGAACTTCGAACAGCGATAATTTGACATGCCCATGTCACTCTGCCCCAGGGGCCAGACTCATGGAACACCGTGTTCATCAAGAACTGCAAGAAGCCCCTATCACGAGCCTTTTGTTCCATCCTAAAGGAGAGGATCATGGACACGGGGTGTCGTCCCACATTTACTAAAAACAACAGACTTACCCACTCCACAAAGGGGCAGTAAAGCAACAAACAAAGAACTACAGACCAATAGCAAACTAACATCCCATATCATAAAAAATCTTTTGAAAGGGTCCTAAAAGCAAGATCACCACCCATCCAGAAACCCAACAGTTACAAACAACCCAGGGCAACAGGTTTTAGAAACAGGTCCTCCTGTCTGTCCTCACTACGGGATCACTACGACAAGGTCCGAAATGCACAAGAAGTTCAAAAAGAATGCAGATGAAATATATACAGACTTTGACAAAAGCCTTCGACAAGTGTTGCCAATGGCGTAATAGCGCACAAAATGCTGCTAAAGGCATACGGAAAAGTCTGGTCGATGATCTATAATTTTCCTCACTAACAAGAACACAGAGAGTAGTCGTCAACAGAGTCAGGTCTCGAGGCAGCTACGGTGAAAAGCTCTTGTTCCACAAGGCACATTACTCGCTCCCATCTTGTATCCTCATCCTCAAATCCACATAGACCAAGATGTCAGCCACAGCAGCATGTCTTATCCTTTGCCAGATACACCCGAATCTGCATGACAGTGTTCTACCATTGCAAGACACTACCAAGCTCCAGGCGACATCAACCAAATCTTTCAGTGGCTGCATAAAACAATATGAATTTTAACGATGAGAAATTTCAATTACTCAGAATATGGTAAACACGAGGAAATTAAATCTTCATCAGAGTACAAAACAAATTCAGGCCACAAAATAGAGCGAAACACAACGTCAAAGACCTTGGAGTGATCATGTCGGAGGATCTCACCTTCAAGGACCATAACATTAATATCAATCGCATCTCTAGAAAAATTGACAGGATGGGATAATGATAATCCTTCAAAACTAAGGGAGGCAAGCCCAATGATGACACTCTTCAGGTCACCTGTTTTATCTAAGGCCTGGAATATTTGCTGCTACACTAACAGCACCATTCAAGGCAGGTGAAATTGCTTGACCTAGAAAATGGTACAGAGAGCCTTCATCGGCTGCTCATAACGGAGATAAAACACCTCAATTACTGGAGCACTTGGAGGTTCCTAACCTGGATTCCCTGGAATGGCAGGGCGGGAGAGAAACATTATTATATACACCTGGAAAATCCTAGAGGGACTAGTACCGAACTTAGCCAGCGAAAATCACTCACTACGAAGCAAAGGAACTTGGCAGACGATGCACCATCCCCTAAGAATTGAAAAATCAGGGTGTCCACTTGGAGCACTTAAGAGACCATACAATAAGTGACAGGGCCCGAGACTGTTCACTGCCTCCCAGCACCCAAAGGGGATTACCAACATAGTACACCCTGGAAGACTTCAAGCTGGCACTGGACAAGCACCTAAAGTCGGTTCCTGACCAGCCGGGCTGTGGCTCGTACGTTGGTTTGCGTGCAGCCAGCAGCAACAGCCTGGTTGATCAGGCTCTGATCCACCAGGAGGCCTGGTCACAGACCGGGCCGCGGGGGCGTTGACTCCCGGAACTCTCTCCAGGTCTCCAGGTAATACACAAATACATTATCACACATAGCAACATACATATAGACAACCTAGAACAACATACATGTAGACAACCAGGAACACATACATGTAAGACAACTGGAACAACATACAATTAGACAACCTGAACAACAAACATGTAACAACCTGGAACAACTTCAATGAGACAACCTGGACAACATACATATAGACAACCTGGAACAACATACATGTAGACAACCTGGAACAACATACATGTAGACAACCTGGAACAACATACATGTAGACAACCTGGAACAACATACATGTAGACAACCTGGAACAACATACATGTAGACAACCTGGAAAAACATACATGTAGACAACCTGGAACAACATAAACAAGTCGGGGGGGGGGGTCAGAATGACATAATTCCACTGGTGTACACAAATATAATTCCCTGTAGATTTACTGGAGAGAGATCCGGGGGTCAACCGCCCCCCGCCCGGTCTGTGACCAGGCTCCTGGTGGAATCAGAGCCTGATCCAACCAGGCTTTGCTGCGTGGGGGTACTGTCTGCACGCAAACCAACGTAGCGAGCCACAGCCGGCTAGGTGACAGGAACAGACCTTAGGTGCTTGTCCAGTTCCAGCTATGAAGACTGCCAGTGGTCTGTAGGTAATCCCCCATATGTATGCGGGAGGCAGTTTAACATGTCCTTGGGCCCCTGAACATTTATTGTATGGTATCTTAACGTGCTAGGTGGACACCCTGCTTTTGCATTTGGGGGATGGTGGCATCGACTGCCAAGTCTTTTGCTTTCGTATGAGTTTGATTTCGAGGCAAGTTCGGTACTATTCCCTCTAGGATTTCCAGGTGTAATATAATCATGTATCTCTCCCGCCTGCGATACCAGGGAATAAAGGTTTTAGAAACCTCAAGCCTCCCAGTAATTGAGGTGTTTTTATCTCCTTAGGCGCGCTGTGAAGGTTCTCTGTACATTTTACTAGGTCAGGCAATTTCACCAGCCTTGAAAGGTGCCTGTTAGTGTGCAGCAATATTCCAGGCCCTACATAGAGCAAGTGACTCTGAAGAGTGTCATCATGGGTTTTGGCCTCCCAAGTTATGAAGGTTCTCCATTATCCATCCTGTCATTTTATACTAGCACGATGCGATTGATACATGTTATGGTTCCCTTGAAGGTGAGATTTCCTCCGACATGATCACTCCCAGGTCTTTGACTTGTGTTTCAGCTCTATTTGTGCCAGAATTTAGTTTTGTACTCTGAATAAGATTTAATTTACCTCGTGTTTACCATACTGAGTAATTGAAATTTCTCATCGTTAAACTTCATATTTGTTTTTTCTGCATCCCACTGAAAGATTTGGATAGATGTCCGCGCTGGAGCCTTGCAGTGGTCGCATGGAAAGACACTGGTCATGCAGATTCGGGAGTCCATCTGCAAAGTGGAAGACACGGTGCAGCGGAGACATCCCTTGGGTCTAATCGATAAGAGTGATGATGAACAAGATGGGATCGATTACTGGCCCTTGTGGAAACAGAGCTTTTCACCGGTAGACTTCCACGGACTTTACTCTGTGACGACTCACTCCACATTGTTCTGTTAGTGAGAATTATAGATCCATCGACCGACTTTACCTGTTATTCCCTTAGCACTCATTTTGTTGCGCTATTGCGCCATGGTCAAACTTGTCGAACTCTTTTGCAAAGTCTGTATCATTACATCTGATTCATTATGTCTTCAAGTGCATTTATTACCGTTGACGTATGATCCTATAGTTGAGACAGACAGAGCGACCTGTTCTAAACCCATGTTGCCCTGGTTTGTGTAACTGATGGTTTCTAGATGGGTGGTGATCTTGCTTTCTTAGGACCCTTACAAAGATTTGTTTTTATATAAGGATGTTAGAGCTATGGTCAGTAGTTCTTATGCTGTTGCTTTTACTGCCCCTTTGTTGGAGTGGGGCATGTCTGTTTTGTAATTTAGTAACTGTGGGACACCCCCGTGTCCATGCTCCCTCTCCATAGGAGTTTTTGGGAAAAAAAAGGCTCGTTATAGGGGCTTCTTGCGTTCATGATGAACATGAGTCCATGAGTCTGGCCCTGAGAGTGCATGGCAATGTCATTTATCGCCTTTCGAAGTCATTATGGCGTCAGAAAACACAGATAGGCTTGTGTTAATCAAATTTTTGTGGCTCACTCAAAAAAATCCATAGTTTGATCTTCGACATTCAGTCAGGTTAGCGATTGCTTAAAAACTGAGTCATAATGGGACTTGAGTAGCACACACATTGCCTTGCTGTCATCTTTGTAGACCCATCTATCTTAAGTATGGGCCCAATACTGGACGTTGTTCTCGACTTTGTTTGGCATATGAGAAGAAATACTTTGGGTTATCTTTCGATTTCATTTATGGCTTTTAGATCTTCCCGCGATTCCTGACACCTAAAAGATTCCATTATGCTTAAGTATCGATGCTTGCTATTTTGCTCTGACCAAGTCTCCCTACGCATTTCAGATATATTACCCTCTTTTAGCCGCTCTGTTATTCTTTTCCGTCGCCAGTAAAGGTCGCGCCTGTCTCTTTCTATCTTACATCTACTCCCACCTTTTTTCTTAGATATAATCTTGTGAATACATAGACGTAGCCACCAAGTGTAATCTGTTTCGTTGGCATAAGTGGGGGGTCCCTGTGTTTTCTTTGGTATACTTCCCAGCGGATAGCGTTAGGACTTTGGTTTACTTGGGTCCAACCTGTTATGTTTTTGATATTGAAGTTGAATTTGGTGAATGTCTCACTCGTGAGCTGATGCTCATTATGTCGGTCTGGGGCTCCAAGCATACATGTTTGGAACCTCAATTATGGTGTGACTGTGTATATTGGGTTGTGATTTGGTGACATTTCTTATCTGGATCATCATTGTTAGTGAAGATGAGGTCTAGTGCATTCTCCAGTCTAGAAGGCACTATTATTTGAGCTGTTTTAAATTGAATTGTGCAAGAGATTTAAAAGCTTCGTGTGAGTGTGAGTTTTCATCCGAGCTGCCGTCCTGTGTTATTACTTGCAACAATAAAATTTTGCTATATTCCCAATTTAAGTGCCTAAGTTGAAATCCCCCAGGACAAGATTGTGGTGCAAGGAGCTGGAAGATTTTCCAACAGTGGTCAAATTTTTAACAGAAGTCCTGGAATTCTGGGATGGTTGCATCCGGAGGCTTTAGACTACCAAAAGACAAGGTATTTGGTTCTCGACCTTACTGCTAAAACTTCCACTACATCACTTGAGGCATTAAGCATTTCTGTGCAAACAAGTGACTCTGCAATGTACAAGCCCAACCGCCCCCCCCTTTTTGCCTGTTCACCTGTCCAATCTGTATAGTTGTAACCTGGTATCCATATTTCGTTTGTTCCAAGTGATCCTTTAGTGGGTCTCAGTGAAAGCCGCGAACTTACCTTTGCCTCTGCAAGCAGTCCACGGATGAAAGGTATTTGTTGTTTGCGTTGCTGGCTTTAGACCCCTGTTTATTTCAAAGAAGATTGACCCTCCGGAACTGGTTGGTATTGTTGGTACTGGGGGGGAGATTTTTTTTTCACGGCATTAGTATCTGATATCTGTTGTTTGGGTGGAGGCCATCGACTGTGGTTCCACTCCAGGAATTACTGGATTTGTGTACATTTCTGCCATTTCCCTTCCAGTTATTTTTTCCTCTGGCACTAAAAAACCTCTCCTTTCTTGAGTTGCTGTGGTCTACCCAGGTTTTTCTTCCCATGGCCTGGATGTTTAGTATCTTTTTGTCCCCTTAGATGGTGTGCCAGGCAATTAAGTTATAGCACAGTCTTTCCTGAACAGAAGAGGTGACACAGTTTTTCTCTGTAATCTTTTGACTACCGCCCACAGAATGGTTATGGTGAGGCATAATAAACAATATTAAACTAACTAACTAACCCGCGATTCCTGACTCCTATAAGGATTCTTTTAGCTACGTCAGATCTTGCTATTCTCTGACAATCTGTGCAATCTATATCAACAGCCTTAAACTCTTAAAATCAACACTTGACCTAAAACGCTTTCTTGATAGCTTTGTGACAGAAACCCACGCATAACACCAGACACAAAATATCTACTACATTCCCGTGACCCGACTAAACCTTTAACAAAAATCCACTGTATTCAAAGCCTAAAATCAGGAATACCCTACTGAGAACTCTAGAACTGCCCAGACACATTCCTCACCTTCAAAACTACAATAATAAAACAACTTATCTCCCTGATACAGGCCCGTCAACTAACTACAGCGAATACCACATGGAGGATCCACTTCACTCGCTCACTCATTTGACCATAAACAGAAATAATAATCTCAAGTCTTAAAATACTGATCCTGAGATACTCCAATACTGAAACTATATACTGTGCCAAAACAAAAGCATTCACATTGCGAAACCATAAACAAGTATTTATGTCACTTATCCATAATAACCAACTTACCTCAATAATTTGTAATATTTTACAATTAAGAATAAAACTACGTATGCCCGAAATGCCTAGCCAAGCTAGTGTTCTAGTGTGTACCCGTAATGCCTATACATGCTAGGGTTCTAGTGGTCACAACTCTGTAATCACAAAGTATACTACATGTAAAACCAACAATAACCAAATTCTGTAAACTCAGCATTGTAATCCGTTTTAGAGAATAAACTTAGAATTGAATTATGAAATTGAATTGAATTTGAATTGAAGTAAGTAATGAGTAAAGTAACGAGTAAATAAGTGGATTTAGTATTGATTAGTGGGTGATAAGTAATTGAGAAAAATGAGCAATTAAGCGCGTAAGCAGAGTAATTAAAGCGAGTAAGTGAGTAAAGTGCTAAGTAAGTATACCTGGACTATACTGCAGAAGGTATTTCGGTGGCGGTCAACGCCCCAAAATAAATTGCGTTTGGATTGCGTTGATCCAGCGATTACCAACCTGGTTGATCAGCCTCTTTCCACCATGAGGCCTGGCCACAGACCGGCCGCGGTGGCGTTGACCCCCTGAACTCTCTCCATAAACTCCAGGTAATGTTTTTATTACAACCAGAACCTGACACCACTAAACAGACCATAGCTGACACCTATGAACATACTACTAATAAAAGTCCTTAGTTAAAGTAACAGCTGTTCCTGAAAATAGGTCAGTTACTTTGTCCCAGGATTCCACCCACCCAGACACCTTAACACACCAAGGATACTTGTGTGTAAGGGGCTTACACTGTTGCTCCTGTTCACCTATGCAGTAAGTAGGTGACCTGTGTGTTAGTCCCCATTCCCTCGTCCCGTTTTCACCTAGCAGTAAGTAGGTACATGGGTGTTAGTCACCTTCCACCTGCTTTCCCTGTTCACACTAGCATTAACAGGTACCTGGTGTTAGTCGACCTTTCACTTGCTGTCCCTTTCAGCCTAGCAATAGGTAGTTACTTTGGTCTAGTCCCTTCTACCTGCTGTCCCGTCACATAGCATAAGGTATACATGAGTGGTTAGTCACTTCCACCTGCTGTCCCTGTTCACCTAGCATAAGCAGGTCACGGTGAAGTCACGCTTATCAACTGCTGTCCCTGTTCACCTAGCAATAGGTAGGTACTTGGTGCTTTAGTCACCTTCTACCTGCTGTCCTGTTCACCTAGCATAAGTAGTACATATGTTTAGTCACCTTCCACCTTCTGACACTGCTCACCTAAGCATAAAAGGCACAGGGCGTTAGGTAAACAGGTTTGGTGGCATCCTGGGGAACAGATTGAGAACCACAGTGGTAATAATATCCACGATGACACACAAACTATCTTCTGGTTATCCTGGATAACAAACCACCCAGTGGTAGAAATCCCAACAGAAATTAAACCACTTAAAAATAATCTTATGTTTTTTTTCTTACTAGTTTATTCTAACTCAGTTCTGAATAGTTTAATCAATAAATATTCCGACGAGGTCAAAATTATGTACAAAACCAAAATGAACCCACACTCTATGTGAGTCAGTGACCGCATTTTCCGTATGACCGTTGAAAATCATTGGACCCCGTGAAATAAGAGATTAAAAAAGGATAATTTTTTATGAAAATCGGTATATACAAGCAATTTACAGGGATTATAAAAATAATCTTGTAAATTTATATATATATAAAGTTTCAATAGTGCTCAACCAGGCTGAAAAAATGTGGTTATTCCGCAGATTTAAGATCATTTGTATTCCTCAGAGGTTGTGACCAGTTTCAGTTTTATCAAGAGTTTATACACATTAAACTAGAGAATGCCTTATCTGATCGGTTTTGAAACTTCCAGCTGGGGAATCGTAGCTACAGATAGTTGAAGTTACTAATTGACATGTGTGTGTGCCCTCTGATCCACTCTATACACCATTAAACTCTAAAAAATGTGTTCATTTATTAAACCACTTGGGCCCGTAAGTAGGTAAGTAGGTAGGTAAGAGTAGGTAGGTAGGTAGTAGGTAGGTAGGTATGGTGGAATTGGGGTTGATGATTTTAACTTACTTACTTACTTACTGACCTACATACGG